TGCAGAACTGTTTGAAGATTTAAAAATATTCAACCTAATAGGGTTCAAACTGTATAGAAGCTGCAAGGTACAACCGCAAGAACGACACAAGTACTTTGTGTGGTTGCCCGCCTGACTCCTCTCGACCAAACACTCGACATCATTATGGCCAAGGGAACGGGAAAAAACTCACTCACTCAGCCAGTTGGCTGAGCAGCTTGCAAATAGCAATGTCATGCAGCTGTCTCAGCATCAGCTTCTGCACGACCCCACCACACCTCCCACCCCCCTCACAATTCCATATTCCGCAACCCATAACCCACAGGCCCCCTGACCACCCAGCACCACCCCCTTTCGGCCCACTGAAAGCGCCACCCAGGCGACGGTGGCAACTTCATTTGCAATGCAAACAGAAAAGCCTCTCGGAAAGAGAGAAGCTTCGCTTCAGTTGTGTAATCAACTAATTACAACAGCCACCAGAGCTGGCGCCATTAGGCAACAGCACCAATTTGCCCATAACCCCACTCATTTGTCTCGCCGAAGTGACTTTTAAACATTTGCGCACATTTTGCCAACGAAACTGAAAGCCAAATCCCCGCCAGTTTGAGACAATCGAGTAGCCCTGCCACTCAAATCAATCAATTCTCCGCAGTCTTCAGATCCACTCAATGGTAAACCCCCTCCCACAAATAATACTTATTGCTCTCCAAGTTCTCCGAACTGAAACACTGCGAAAAAGCGGTCCCCTAAAGTATTGAACAAAATTTGAAAACCTCTAAAAGTGTTTTAACTTAAACGATTTCGAAATGATATCTTCATAGTAGTTGCAGTTGCAAGTTTATTTCATTTAAATAAATAAAAGGTCAATCAATATATGTATATTCTTAGTATTTTTCTCTTTTATTAAAGTAAATTTAAGAAAATTCTATGAACCCAAAAATGTATTAGATATAAGATATCAAGCTTTACTTTATTATACATGTGTTTTTTTTCTAAAAAAGTTATAAGGTTTATATAGTTTCAGATCAAAAATTTAGGATTCAATTTTAATAGGTTTCCAAAATAAAACATTAATTTAAAATTAAATAATAAATAAACTCACTACCTAAGATTACTTTTTAAGTTTCAGTGTAAATTCAAAAGTTTATTATTTCGGACTGAAAATAAAACTTTTCAACCGTTAACAAAGTCGAGATAGTTAAGAGATTGGTTTTTTCAAGAGATGTTTTCGAGTGAAAAGGTTCTTAATCTAAAGCCAGCACCTTGAACTTAGGTAACCTTTATTCCCACAGTGCATTTTGCCGTTATTATTCCTGTTTCCGGTTCAGGATTTTCGTTGATTTCGTCTTGTCTGGAGTCCATCGAAGAACTGCGGCGTCTCCTTGACGCAACGTTCTCCTGCTGCCTTCCATCGCTGGTAAATTGATACTTTTTTTGGGTTTCGGGACTCGCATTTTTTGTCAGGCACGCAAAAAATAAGGCAACAGGGAGCGGAACAACTTGAGACGCACGCTGCAGACTTGAAGACCCATCCATATTCATAATGGCACACTAATTGGATCTTAATTCTGGAATTTTATTTACTTACTCGACCGAATTATGGCTGAGGAATTGAATTAGCAAGTGACAGAGAACAGATCTGGAAAAGTGTTGCCGACATTGACACTTACTAAATAAATTTGCAAAATTATGTAATTGAAAAAAGGGACGTTTGGGTTTATCTTCTGGTAATTGATATCATTTTTTTCTTAACGGATTCTTGTTAAGCAGGAAGCGAACGACCGTCGGGTAAATTAACATCAATCTAAGCTCACAATTGTCTCATTTCTCTAATTTTCCCCTTTCCATATTCATTCGGCGCAGTTGCTTTGATCAGATTCAGATTCAGATGCATATTCACGGCCAATACCGCTGGCCAACTGTTTGTGATGAATGAATCTAGATTGAATTACACGGAACAACCTGTATTGAACAGTCTTGCCCCCGTTCTCCATAGAGAAATCATGGAAACGAGCCGAGGGGGAAAAGTTACCAAGTTCTGCCTTTAATTGATTTGGAAACAAAAGTTTCGACTTGGAAAAAGTTTTGCTCGCCAGGCCCAAGAAGTCGACACGTCCTGCCTCCATTGCCAATTTGTTTTGGCTGCTCCTAAACAGCAATTTATGTGCTTACCATTCGTTACATAATGGCGATAAATTACCCCGCGACAACGACAAGTTCAAGTGCTCGGCAGATGAAATTTAATTAGCAATCACACGGCTGTCCGCCGATTGCGAGCTCTACAAGTGACTGATGGATGATCGATGTGCCACTTAACAAGTTGACTAAAACAAAGTTTCGCAGTGGGGAAAACCGTACAACTCGCCAGAATGAATTATTATAGTTCAGTACTTGCCCACCAAAAGGGCAATGACCATATAAGCTACGTTAGTCAAACTATAGTTATAATCTCTGATATCATCAGAAAACAGTACGGATGATGGGATATGGGTCACACTTGTTACTTATGAAATAACATAAACCCGTTCCACAATTTTATTTAGTATCTAAATTTTTTTATGAAGAGGTTCAGCTACCATTAAATATTTATTAAACTAAATCATGTAATTTATTATATACTAATACAAATACAAACCCAATATGAGAAATCTCAATTTAAAGTACTTCCAGTTCCATTTAAGCAACTTCCAACGATAAATTTTTGTAGTGTGCGCAAAAATCTTTGCACAGCATTACTATATTTTCATTAGGCACATATAATCAATATTCTACCTCCACTTAATGCCCCCCTTATGGCTTTAATCTATCCAAGTGTGAATTTAATTATGCCCTCGGGCCCGGAAAAACATTCAGGAACCGCAAAGTGAGGCCGGGTTGTCAATGAACTGCGCCAGTTTTTCGATGTCAACGACAAATTGCCGTTGAGACACTTTAGATGCAGCCGACTGGACTGGATTAATTCATTCAAATACAGCAGTAAAAGATTTAAGTTAACATCAACAAGTTGAAGGGAGCGGAATTTTTCAGTGCGAGAGCCGCAATGTGTCGGCAAGATTTATTGGCTCAGTTTATGTAGACAGCTTTAATTGATCGCAAAGCAATCGCATTTTTTCTGTTCGAAATTGAATTGAGAACAACAAATTGTCAAAAGCTTTGGGATCATAAGAAGCAAAGAATTTATAAATCTGATTTGGGCTTTCATTCGGTTTTGTTTGGGGTGACTTTATATTCTTTGTTGCGCATAAATATTATATGAGACATGTGCGCTGTTCATGTATTGCATCATCTATTTAAATAAAAATAATTGATAAGCGGACATATTTTCTAGAGAGGGGAATTATTAAAAGAAACACCAGAAATCAGCTGAATGGCATACCAAAGTCTTTAAGTTTTTGTGGTTTGAATAATTGTTAGGTTAATTGGTCAAACATTTTACATATATTTTGATTTTCTTTTTGAAAAGGTGGTCAGCTTTATAGGTTTTTAATGAATTCTGTAATAAGTTTAAGTTTACTTAAGTTCATAAGGTTGACAAATGTTGTATTTCTTGCTTGGATGTACTTACTTTAACAATAAAACCCAAAAATCTAGCAAGCCAATTTAAAACATAAGTATCTTTATCAGTCTATTCAGTTTTAAATCGAGTACAACAAACTGAATAATTCATAAGTTAATGGTGTGCAAAACTTGTTGTTGCAAAACCTGTTGTTGTCCTGTCTTCGATGAATCATACTTTGGGGAGCCCTCAAAAAACATTAGTAGATACTCGGCTCTAAGCCTGGTTTATGTGCTCAGCCACTCGTGGGTGAAATTAAACACAGCCTGAGCAGCATTCGAAATGTAATATTCATTATTATTATACCGAGCGGCACATGGGAAGAGTCCCACGTGTGAGGTCCTGAGGTACCTGAGGTAAATGCTGCATTTGTAATTGCCACTGCGTGCCCACTCTCGCAACTCCGGCGAGCGTTCGTACTTGGCTAAATGATTTATAAACGCTCATTTAATGCGCTAAAAGCCGTGCGCATTAAGCCGGTTTTCATATGGGCCCTGTCCAGTTGGGAAGGTGAAAATGGAGGCTGAATTTTGGGGCACATGCGTGTGGTTTTCCCCACATTTTCTCTGGCAAACTTTGCACGAGGGCTTTAATTATTGTAATTGGAGTTTCAAGCTGCAACCGCACAATCGTATAAATTATGGAGCCCCCATATGATGATACCCAGGATAACTTTCATACTGGGGAATCATATGTTAATTGTTTTCGGAACAAAGTGGAGACCGCCTTCAAAAGTTACCGCATGGGGCATGTGCAAAATAAATCTCTTGGGGCAATAGCAATTTTCACCTAATCCAAACCCTCTTGAAATGTCCTGCTTTCATCCCTTTCTTGCTTTCTTCCTGTGAAGCCGCTTATCTTATCACATTCATTACACGAATTAGATCCGAGACGTCGGATTGGTTTTCTTTAGGGACACATTGCTGAAAATTGCCTATTTTTGAAATCGGAAACTTTGCGAAAAATCGGCAGAAAGGCAGCAAAAAGAGAGGATAGAAGAAAAGATAAAGGTAAACGGGCGCAGCAATAACAAAGGCCACAGAATTTCCAATCGTTTTTATTGAATTTTTCCGAACGGCATCGTGAAAATCCAGCCATCCCATCCGTATTCTCGGGTTCGTGGTGTCCGCAGCCCAATATAATCTTTATTTTCTTTGTCCCCGAACGCTCGAGTGTTCCGATGTTCGGACATTTTTCATTTTAAAGACATTTTGACATTTATTTTACTTTTTTTTCTCCTCGGATGGCCAGACAGACAGTCGGAGTCGGAGTCAGAGGGAATTGGCAGATTAGAAACGGTCGAAACGCAGCGGTCGGTCTAAGGGGAAGGTCGACCTCTGACCTTGGCCCGTTGATTAGCATTGGGATTGGGCCATTCCATTGTATCTGCGGGCCGAGCTGAAGTCATTGGGAATTAAGAATTGGGAAGTGGCAGTAAAAGACGTTAAACGTTTCTTTTTTTTTTTTTTGCATAAATTAGATTTCTATTTTTTCCGCTTGATTTTACGTACAAAAGATTATACAAAATAGTATCTTACGACTGGTATTTACACTTAGGATTAGCTTAGCTGGCGCCTATGAATATTTATATAGTTCGTATATCTGCATATATCGATTCTGAATCGCTGTCTTATCCTCCGTATTATTATTTTGTAATACAATGCAACATCAAAGTTAGATAAAGAATTATGTGTAGTATTCTGTATATATTTACAGGGTGCAGGTTTACCACCCAAAAAGCAGAGTTTTCACTCGACTGAACGTGCAACATTTTTCTTCTTTTTTTGGTGAGGAGAATCCACCCCGAGGACGTGCAGGGGTTGGACTCCCTGCCACCGTGGTTTCAGGGCGAGGAATTGGCTCGAACGAACGAACGGGTAACGTTAATGAATAACTAAAACAAGGTCTTTAAAAATTAATTAGAACTACGTGGGTGGTGGTGGGTGATGGGTGGTTGGTTGCTCGGTTGGTTGCAAGTTCACTTGCTCTTCGTTGCCGGTGGCAGGGATCCGTTGGCCGCGGCTGTTGCTCCGTTGTTGTTGTTATTGTTGTTGTTGTTGTTGCTGTTGTTGTTCTTGTTCTGGTTATTTTGGTTGCTCGTGGCCGCCGTCTGTTGCCGTGCTCCACTTGCTGCCCCACTGGCGTTGCCCTTGGTTTGCGGAGCCGTGGCTGCTGCCGCAAGCTTTCCTGCTGGCAGGGGAGAAGTCTTGGGGCTGGCTGCCGCTGGCGTGGCTCCCGATCCCGGCAACGTGACCATGGGCAGCATCGGTTTGATCTCCCCTTCGAGGGGACCGCCGGCTCCTCCAGCTCCAGCTGCTCCATTGGCGGCGGCGTTCTTCAGCTTCTGCAGACAATCGTTGAACACATCGTTGCCGCGCTGCATCCGTGACAATTGCTCCATTAGATACGCCTGCTGGTAGTTGAACATGGCCGGCGGCATGTGGTGGCCCATCTGGGCGAAGTTGAACAGCAGATTCGACTGGTTGGCCGCCGCCTGGGCAGCCTGTGCCACCTGTGCCGCCTGTGCCGCCTGAGCAGCTTGCGCCGCCTGAGCAGCCTGCGCCACCTTCACCCGCATCAGGTTCTCCTTGAGGAAGGTGCTCAGATCCAGTTGCCCGGAGGCCACCGCAGCGGCACTCACACTGGAGGCGATGCTAAGGGGAGCATTCTGACCATGCATCCCGGGATGGGGCATCATCTTGCCCGCCGATGGCGGCGGTGGCGTGGGATTCTTGGCGGCCTTCTTCGACTGCTGCTGGTTCTTCGCCTGCGGTGGACTGGGTTTCTGTGGCGCCACCGTCTGTGGATGCTGCTGCTGCTGCTGCTGCTGCTGTGGCTGTGGCTGTCCACCGTTGGCTAGCTTCTGCTGACCAGCAGTGACTCCCGCATTGGGTGACTTTTTGCTGGGAGGCACCTTCTTCGGATTGGGGGGTGGCTGGAATCCAAAGGGAGGCGCCAGAGGAGTCAGCTTGGGTGCCAAGTCGGGCATGGCATTCTGGCGGGGCAGAATGGGACGGAACTTCTTGGCCGCGGGGTCTCCATTCTGAGTGGTCACTCCGGCATTGGCTGCTCCCTTGGGCGACTTGTTTTCGCTGGCCGTTGGCGAATGGCTGCCCATTTGGGCGGCGTTCCGCTTCTCCGGACTCGGAGTCTTCTTGTCCGCCTGAGTTGGAGTAAGAACAGGTTTCAAGGGAGTTCCCTTGCCGGCATTCGAGGGCGGAGATGTTTTCGGTGGGCTGATCACACGCGGAGCATTTGGTGACTGAGCAGGAGTGGCCACTTGGGGCAGCTGCGGTGGAGTCATCCGGGACATCAAGTGCTGTGGCGAGGGAATGGCCTTGGATGGCGGCGGCGGTGGCAGCTTCACGGGAACAACTCCTGGTCCAGTGGCAGGTGGCGATTGCCGCTTTTGCGCCTCCTTGGCCGCCTGATTCTGATCCTGCGGCTGATCGGGCAGCTTCACGATCTCAATGTAGTTATTCACCGGATTCTTGTGCTTGGGATGCTGGCCATTGCTGGGCGACGAGGAGTCGCCGCTATCACGGGAAATGGTGATCGAGAGCGAGGACGGAATGTTGATGTTGCACGAGTTGAGCAGGGACTTCACCTTCACCTGCTGCTTCTCGGGCGCATCTTCGCCGGGCAAATAAATTCCGCTGTTTGCACTGCCATTTCCCGCCGAAGGAGCAACCGAAGTGGGCGATCCTCCCTGGGCGGGATTGGTGTTCTGATCGGATTTGATGGGCGGCGAAGGGAACAGTCCACCCATTGATCCCCCACTTCCTGCAGCACCCAACATGCTCTGCAAATAGTTGCCAGCTGCTCCATTCGGAGTTCCGGCATTCGCCGTTGGCTTTGGCGTGTACTTGTAGGTGGGCATCGTGGGAATATTGTAGCTGGGCACATACTGCGGTGAACTGGGCGAGTAGATGGGTGAATTGGGTGTGTACATGGGGGTGCGGCAGCCAGGAGGCGCCTCCTTGCCCTTCGACTTGCTCGAATTAAATAGAGCTAGATTGAGATAGTTGTTGGAACTGTTGTTCTTATTCGGAGCTGACATCTGCGAATTGCCTGTCGGCTTGGAAATGCTTCTGTTTCCCTGGTTTGCAGCACTTCCATTTGTGTTAACAACTGGGGCAGGCGGTGGTCCCATTTTCGTTTCCACCTTGGGTCCATACACATGCCCCTTCGAGGAAGGGCTGTTCGAACTATCCGTCGATCCAATAGACTTGATTTCGGTGCCCGCATCCTTGAGCAGACGATTCACATCACTGGGAATATTGGCAAACGGATTGGGACGCGAAGCCTTGGGCAGAATGGGCTGATACCGCTTGGCGATGGGAGTCCGATTGCCGGGAGCCGACATCTGAACTCCGGCATGTTGATGCAACGGCGATGCAGGAGGTGCAAGCTGGGCGGATGGCTGGAGTTTCCGGGGAGCCAACATTGGTGGCTTCGCAGGAGGCGGCATCAGTGGCTTTTCAATCTTCGAAGCTGCCACTGCTGGCGGCGTTGGAGGTTTGCCATTGGTGGAGGGCAGACGGATCTTGAAATCCTCCCTGGGAAGCGGAGGCGATAGCTTCGGTTTCTTGGTCACCGCCTTCACCGGCTCCTTGCTCTTTCGCTTCGAGGAGGCAATGGATTTCGGGGGCATGCAACTGGGCGGCTTCATCAACATGCTGTCGTCCAAATTGCTCTTGGATTTCGCCATAGATTGCCTCAGTTCATTCGCAGCCGGGGTGGAGCCTCTGAAAACCGGTGTGTCCGTGTCCGGCGATTCCACCTTCACCTTGATCGGTTTCAGAGCGAAGGACTTGAGGAACTCCGACTTGGGATCCTCGGAGAAGCCACCACTGGTGACCCTTGGACTCAGTGTGCTCACACCACTGGGACTCAGAATGCGTTCCGTGCGAATGGTCAATGGAGGCACCGTCAGCGGACTGGGACTCTTGCGCTTGCGCTCTCCACTCGACGAGGAGTTGGAACTGCTCGACGACTTGGGACTGCCATCCTTGTCCTTCTTCTTCGACCGCGACTCCTTCTCGGGTTTCAGGGGCTTCACAATTTCCCTTCGCTCCGGATCGGACATATTGATAATGGTCACGCTGTTCTGCTTCGACAAATCGATCTTGAGCTTGATATTGGGTTCCGATGGCGATGAAACTGGAGTGGAGGGCGAAACCTTGGAGCTCGACTTGGAGTTCGTTTGTGGCGAGTGACTCTTTTCGCGCTTCTCCAACATGGTTCGATTGATCACCAGTTTGAGGGGCTCCGTCGTGGGTGGAGCCTCCACCTCCTTGGCCACCTCTTCCTCCACTTTCGTGATATCTGGCTGCACCAGTCGAATGGTGGCTTCAATCTTTGGCAGCGCCAGTGGCACCAACTGAGGGGGAGCTTCAATGGCCGGCTTTTGCTCTTGGTTCTCCTTCTCGGGATTCTCCACCTTGAGGGGCAGCATTCGCCGAGGAGCGGGCTTCACCACCGGCTGGGGTGACTCATAAACACGGTAGTAAAACCGCATGGGTGCATCCCGTTTCCACGTGTAGATGTACGCAATGTCCATTAGGGTGTAATAGTCCAGCAAAACGATTGTCTTGACCTTGTACATTATGTCGATACTGAAGCGCTGGGCGTCAATCTCGAACTTGTCGTGGACGAACTTCTTCAGGTGGCTTACTCGGCACATCGCCGGACATTGAAGATACCGCGGACGCAGGGTGTCCACCAACTCAGATGCGGATTCTTTTTTCAGTTCACTGGGAAAGAGCAGAGAAATAAAATATTGAAAGATTAGCGAATGCAGTAGAATGGTATGGTAATCAAGGGGAACTGGGAACCGAGTTCGTTAATTCATATCAATGATTTTTTATGTCCGAAATAAAACAGTTTACTACATCTACAAAACCTTTTAAGAGCAACAAAATAATCGATCTCAATATCGGTTTAAATTTGATTATGTTTATATTTATCGGAGTTAAAGTTTTCCTTTCTTTGGGGTACAACTACATTTTTATATGACTTTAAACAGGCCCGTATCCAGAAATTTGTTTCGGGGGGGTGCTCAAGGACAAAAATCAATAAAAAATGTGGACTTATTCGAATAAATTCAATAAATTAAATTAAATTTGGCTTAGTTTCAGTCTACTGATCTATACGTTCCTGTTAGGTCAGGTTTCTTCTACTGAAGACTTTTTAATGAAAAATCTTAAATAGAAAAAATTTTTGAATTTAAAGATTTCGGGGGGTGCCCGGCCCCCCGGGCACCCCCCCTGGATACGTGCCTGACTTTAAATCACTAATACTATGACTTTAAATTGTATCTGTGCGAAACTTTCAATAACATCGATTAAATCGATATTATCTAAAATATCGATATCTATAACTTTACGAAATTTTCAGTATTTTGTAGCTTCATCGAATAATAAGATATTTCTTAGGTTTAAACTTTAAAAAATCTTAAAGATACATACCCCAATTCGGCGTACTCCAGCGAGAGCGACATGTAGTCCGAGGGGCTGAAGATCAGATGCTCCGTGTCGTCGCCCCGCTGCTCGGGCGTGGCCAAGGCGGCCTCCTGCGGACGATCCTTGTAGAAGGCCCTTTTGCGCATCAGCTCCCGTTCGTAGAGTCCGGGCACGAGTTTGTAGACAATCGCCTGGAGCGTGGTGTCGGATCTGCAAGGGGAAGGGAAGCGGAAGAGCAGCGGATTAGGAAGTGCCACATTTTCTGGGGGTTGAGGTACATAGCTGTACATAGATGCATCATGCCCAGCGAAATGGAACGCAGACAAAGGCGACCGGCAGTCGTTTGGGAAATGGGAAAAAGTCACCGTGGCTGAGGACAAATAGAGAAGCCAAAGCGAGTCGGGACATGGCAGGACTTGCGACTTCCTTGGCGCGGAAATGAGGCAAGAGGGAAAGAGAGAGAGATAGACACCAGCCTGTACAAATTAGGCGGCAGATGCAATTTTCTATTGCTTCAATGGCACGCAACAAATACGTAAACTGAACAAAAAAAAAAAAAAATAAGGGAAGGGACTCGCTGCTGACTATATTCCTTGGCATGCGCTGGTGACGATGGTGATAGTGGTTCGGTGGTTCGGTGGTGCTGTGGTGGCTCGCCGGTGGTGGTTTCCCCCTCAGATACTCACACACACTAACACACACCAAAGGCGAGAGACAGGAACCGAGCAACTCTGGCCCTAAGACGCCTTTAAAAACATCTACGAACGGCGGCCCCGGGCAGCCAGGCGCTCACTTCAATCATTTCCAACCAAAATAACGAAAGGCGAAGACCAAAGACCGAAAAAAGGTCTTGCTGAATAGCACGTCAAGATGGGAAAAATGAGAGGCAGTCGGCGGAGGGGGGAAATTTGGGAAAGGGCGAAGCATCTGAGACTCGGGATCTGGGAATGAAATGGCTCTCATTTACATAACCCAGCGGCTATAAATTTACCGATCATTGCCGAGTGGAAGATGGGCTATCTCTAATCGATCTATGTATTTGCCGGGCATCCTTTCACAACCATATTAATTAAACTATGAAATGAAAGATGGGCGATAAACAGTGAAGCTGATCAAGGTAATTTCCAGATGGTAAAACTTTAATTAGATATTGTACCTTTTTAGTGTTATAAGAAGCATTATTAAATCGGAGTGTGCAACAATTTTAACAAGATTTACTGACTCAAAAGGGACTTTGAAAATTGTTTTTAAATTTTTTTAAATTTTGATAAGTTTAGTAAAGTGTGATTTACGGCATTTAGGTAAATATTATTATAATTTGTACTTGTAAATATATGTAATTGTTAATGTAAGATGTTAAAATTAAGACTCAGGAAATTGTTTTTTAAAAAATAACTGTTTTTCTAAATATATCAAGTATTTATGGAGCAAACAATACGCGGCTTGTTTTTCCTTCTTGCATAAAAAGGCTAATTATACTGCAGATTGTGAAGGTACCAATAACAAAGCCTCAGTTAATGCTAACGATTATGTGCAGGCAGTTCCCTTCATATATATTTTTTAATTCTATCAAAGTTAATTTATATCCTCATTCACTCCAACTTTTATTCGCACTCTCTTTCGCTCCGGCTTTCCATTTTACTACCACTTTTAAAAGCCAGTTGCAAGGATGGAAAAAAAAGAAATATTAAAAAAAAAAATCAAACAGAAGCCAGACTGCTCGGCCATCGCTCCATCTCGCTCACTCACGCGCGCCTGTCATTCAGCGCAGTTGTTGTAGCTGTTATTATTATGGTAGTTCTTTTATTTTGCTGTTGCTTTGCTGTTGTTGTTGTTGTCAGCTGCTGCCAGTCGTCGTCGTTTTTGGCCGACGGCAAATTCGAGCCAGCACAAGACCCGCCCGTTAATTATCTCCGCCGCACTTGGATTTGTTTTCGGTTTTCTTGGAAATGCGTGTCGTTGCAGTTTCTTTTCTTTTCTTTTCTTTTATTTTCCTCGCAGTTTTTTTTTTTTTTTTTTGCCTTCTTTTGCAGCTTTATCAGATGATTTTGGGGGCTGTAAGGCAATAAGAACATGGCCGGCCCCTGACACACATACACACAAAAGAAGAGCTCTTGAAACTTTTCGCCTTAGCAGTTAGTTTAGCTTACTTGATTTTGTTTTACTTTTTTGTATTATTTCGCAGCGCTTTTATTTTGTGTTTACCTTTGTAAAGACAAACTGAACGGAGTTTTCTTTTGTGTGTTCCCTCTCTCCAGTTGCCCTCTCTCCTTTCCCCCCTCTTCCCTATCCCTTTTCCCTTCGCCTTTCCTGTTCCTGCTTCTCCTTCCTTCGCCGGGGTTAAACAATAAACTTTTGCAATAAATTTAATTGGAGACTCGAGACTACAACTACAAATACTACTAAAAATTCATGGAAAACATGGCCAGCGGCATACAAAAGGGCACTTGTTTGTAGAATCCACCAAAATCCCCGCTATATCTGCCTCTCTATATCTACACGGAAAGAAAAGAAGTTTCGAAGTCTGCATTAAAATGTTAAAGTTGCCTCAGAAGCAGGAGGGTAAATATGCTGTGATAATCAGGCCTTTGCGATCTTTAAATTCCCGGTCATTAGTTCATCCGAATGAATTAGTTCATTTTTGCTTCTGAAAAGCTTGCTATAAACTTGTTTTTGAAAATGATAATTTTAATATTTTTATAGAATTTCATTACCTATCTATACTATATGTTCCCCGAATCCAGCTGAGCTCATCACAAAATATTGATTGAAACTTACTTCCGAAAAGTGCAAAACTAATGGTTTTGAATTGTTATTTTACCGGGGTAAATTGTCCCATGAGCACATGTAGCTCGTGTCGTAGGGAAATTCAAATTATCTTGTGAAGGGTAGTCGTCCGATAGGTATTACCACTCAACGCGGCAAGGTTCGGTCGTACATCTCATTATTTTATCTGCGTGTACACCCGACTCCAAATCCGTGGGGCACCACTTCACACCATTTGGCCAGCAGCAGCCCGAAAAGGTTCATTCATTTCACCTGCTCTCCATTTACTCAGGCCTTATACTCTGCCCACGATATCGCCGCTCTTTGAATTTGTATTCATTATCTCTTTGTGTGTGCCGAGCGATTACAACGTGCCACTTGATGCGGAGAAGGGGGGCGAGGGGGGTTGACGGGTGATGCCAGCGGGTGGTTTTCTATACAGACTCCCATTAAAGTTGTGCGGGGGCCCTGGGCTTAAATAGATATATATATTATACGTATATATTCGCTGGTTCAGCTCTCCGAACATGAAACGTGTTTTTCATTACGCCCAGCGAAATGGAATGGAATGAATTGAAACGTGCCAGACGAGAGAGACAGTTAAGACATTCCCGAAAATGCTTTTGGCCCCGTCAAATAAAGTTAACCACAGGCGAAAACTTTACTCCAAAAGGTGCATGGAACAGGGGAAGGCTTTTCCGTGTCCACCATCACTACCATCACCACCACCCACAACCACCGTAATTTTGGGCCAAAGGTTTTTGATCAACTTTTTCCCTCCACTTTTGGCGAGGAAACCCAACGATACCGCCGCCGCCGCCGCCACCAAAAATGCCAAAAGTTGTGTGGTCCAAGTGAAAGAAGAAACATTTAAGAAGAAACTACTCCGGTTCAGGAGGAGTTCCTTTCCCCCTGGGGAAAATCAATCTCGCCGCTGCGAACTAAACAGAAATTGCTATAAGACACGGGCGAGTCTTTATCTTCCGTGACGGAAAATGAAAGGAGCTAATCTCGTACTGATTTTCTGATTATATTAGTCAGCCGTCGTCATCTAATAAGAAGCTTCCACGGACACCTTTTCAAAGAAAAAGTCATTCGCAATCTGCCCTTTGACATTGAACAAATGGGGGATTAAGTGGATCTGAGGATTGCATTATTATTTTGCTTATTTGATGAGCAAATGAGGCTTTTATTAAAATTAATCGGCATCGTAATATGTTTAGTTGTATAACTTTTCCTTTATAGGAAGTGTAGAAGCATTTATTCTACTGAAGAGTTTTAGTTAACATTTGCAAAAAATCATATTTAACTACCCATAAAACACTTCATAAAACTGAAAATTGATTAATGAAGCCGTTGTAATCCGCTTTCCTTCTCCGATTGCTTCGTATCGCATAAAATATTAAAATGACCCAGCATTTCGCTAACAACTTGAATAATTCACTCGACTCTCTTTTATCAGCCATCTTTGCTGTCTCCATTAAAGATCCATCTGGGTTGTCAGAAAGGTTTTCGGCAGCGTTTTCCCTTTGAGCTACCACTTACATTCCGGCCAGAAAACCAGACTGACAAACAGACAGACTGCCGGAGACGAATGGCAAACTCAAGCACCTGGGTTCCCCTTCCGAAACCCACCGATTCGCATTATGTATCTATCATCTAATCGCTTGTTGTCAAAGACAGACGATTGTGAGGAGCTACTACTTCTATAAACTCCACCAAAGGGCTCTTGCATACTCACTTAATGTTCGGCTTGGCGTTGTTGATGACCATCTCGCAGCGCGGGCAGAATCGCTCCTTTCGCAGGTGATTAATGAGGCAACTGTGGCAGACTGGAAAAAAAGTACAAGAAATAAAGACCGGTATAAATTAGAGGGCTTTCGAAACGCGAAATAGGCAAATTACGATGCACACGGCACGGCATTCGAAATAAATAAACTCAACAGATTTCGCTGATTCGATTTGATGTACAACCGTCTCTGTCAAACCACCCAATCACCACCCACCACAAAGTTCGAGAGGAAACGCAATCAAACCACCCACGAGCCGAGGCAGAAAAAAAAGAAATGTAAACGAAGGACGAAGGGAATCGGGAGCGGGAAAACATTAAACCCAAACAGAACAGGGAAACACACAGCCTTCAAGGCAAACCGAGCGAGCTGCCGTGCTGCAAAAAAGTTGTTTTGACTTTAATGTCAATGCCAGTGTCTCTCTGTCTGCGTAGCTCGCTGTTTTCCCTCCCCCCTCCCCCGATCCATCCGCTTTTCCCAGTTTTCCCCTGGATATCCTGCCCGCTACAACTGTCACCCAACTGCAGACCGAGGGGGCAATCCTGCTGGGGGGCAGGGGCTTTATATAAAAACGGAGGATAGTCTGGGGGTCGCACAGTCAGTCAGTCCAAGCTGGCTCGCCGCCTGTTACGCTTGTCCGTCAGTTTTGGTCCAATGCCGAAATAATAATAAAAAGAAAAAAACACACAGCGAAATAAAAGGAAAAATTCGCACTGATGATGTTTTTGGGGGGCGAGCGGGGCTGTTCGGGGGGTTAGTTTGGGTGTGTGGGGTGTGTGGGGTGTGTGGGGTGTGTGGGGTGGTGCCGTGTGCAAGCCAGCAAAAAAATTGTTGTTACTGCCCGCCAAATGGCCTCGAATGGGGAGAACATCAGCCCAGCATTCTGCAAGAGTTGCAGCGGCATCAAAACACAGAGGGAAATACTTCAATTCTGGTTTAAAAAGTTAGCAATTTTGAATATAATTGGAGATATCTCATACTAATTGATCTATATAGAAGGAAAAACCATGATAAAAGGGGAATTTTTATTTTAATTAAAACAACAAGAACTCTCTTGCTTTCCTTTTTAACACAAAAGTTTTTGAAAAAGTATCCCAATCTATTCCTAATTATTTCGTTTAAATAGTGTTCAAACAGTGGAATAATTATGCGTTTGTCTTGAAAAATTAAACAAACAAAATTCCGGCTTTGAATACGAATTAATAATGCATTAATATGTATATTCGATTTCTTGTCTAAAAATATCTGAATATAAAAGTTGGTGCATCTTTAATATTCAACTGTTTTACAAACTTATCAGCTGTTTTCTGTGTGTATCGCATAAGAGCCTTTTTGTGTTACTTAATTTTCTCGCAGTGATGTTTGCGAAGGCAGCTGTTGCTGCCACAGTCCGGTTTTCGCTTTGGTTTACTTTGCTTGGGTTTGCTCTGCCCCTGCCTGCCCCTTCAGCTTCTGCCACCGTTTGTGCCTTTGCTTTTGGTTTTTGCCTGGGTCCCAGGTTCCAGGTCCCAGGTCCGGTCACCAGTAAACAGTCCACAGTCCGCAGTCCACAGTCCAGCTTCCCGAGTCCCGAGTCCCCAGTCCGGTTCGCTTTGGTTTGGTTTGGTTTTGTTTCGGTTCGGTTCGTTTGACAGTTAGATGGGACTCCCGGGTGCTCTACATACTATACGTAGGTAACTATGTATATCTGAGTGTTTTGGGGCTTCGACCGTTTTGTCCCTGCCGGCCAACAGATTTAAATGAGCCTGACCAAATGTATCCAGTGTCCATTATCAACACATTGGTTTGCCAGATTTGCAAGCGACACAAAAAAAGTGAAGAAGCGAATGGGGCGCTTGAATGGAAAATTAACCTTACGCCGCAAAAAGGGGAAACTTTTAATGTCTGAACGAAGGAGCTCCGAGCTCGACTGGGTGATGTATGGCTGCATTCGCTAGTTTTATGGCATTTAGTCCCCGCCCGAATGCTAATGTTGTGTTAATATCTGTGCCGTTGATAACACATCCGGGGTTTCCGGGGGTTGCGAGATCATCGCTCCGTTCGTCTCAACAGTTTCTCAATCAATCGGGCTAAGTACTTCGTTGCTGGGGCCATTAATGTGCCCACAAACTTATCGCCCGGCAACATCTGCGTGTCGTCTGTGTCCCTGCCCCGCCCCCTCAGGCACCCTTCGCGAAATCCTCCGCCCCCTCGTGCGAACATAACTCATCGCGTCTAGGCAATTTTGCAGTAGAGCTAGACAGGCGGAGGCTGGGATTTGGCTATTGGAAGTTTCGGCGAGGGGATGGTGCTCTTAGTCGGCAGTTGGCATTCTAATTAAGGCGAGGCTATTAGACAGTGCAACTTGGCCTAATCCCTGGCCATTGAAGACACAGATAAAGTGGCCAAAGGTCTCAAAATCAAATTACTTACACAAGTCACAACCAAGTTAGGGATTTGTAAATTATAGCTTAACGTTTAAACAAAAAAAATATTTACTAGGAATAGAACATTTTTCTTCAATATTATTATCCCAAACTTGTTTTTAGGGAAACAACAAACACTATATGTTAATTTGCTTTGCGGCATTTTGAGAATTTTGTGTCAAAAAACTGGTTTCCAGTTTAGATAAAACGTAAAATAATTTCATTATTTTATCATCAATTTAGCTTTAGCTAATTAATTGGTCTTTAATGTTGTTAAAATGTTTAAGAATGAAGAAGTTTGTAACTTCCAATGACAAAAGTTTTTCGCACAGTTTTAAAGGGTCATCAGTTTAAGCTCCTCAAGATTTTCTTTCAAAACTGCCGATGTGAAACGAATTTGTCGCTAAAGATAACGATTTTATTGCAGTAAGAGGGTAGTTAGAATTAGAACCCGTGGGAGGATGGTCCTCAAGGAGGAAAAATTGTAAAGACTCTAGAATCTTTTGGCTACTCAAAGGTTATTGACTTGTGCAAGTTTTCCCACCCGAAAAACGAGGGACAACTTGCTGAAGTTCGAGGGCAGAAAATGCCTGGTATATCTATGTGTATATACTTACAGGAGTGCAGACATTCGACGATGGTGGTGGCATTGATCAGATATCCCTGGCACAGGTGACAGATGATGTGCGAATTGACGGCCGTCAAGAGGACGGGGCGTGGCCTTGAAGTTGTGGCCAAATCGGAAGTCGTTGTCGCCGCTTCTGACGTGGCCTGGTCCTCCTCCGTTTTATCCTCGTCGGCGGAGGCATCCTCCGAAGTGGCCCTCCTAGTCGTCGACCATGAGGACGATGATGAGGAAGACGACGAGGAGGAGGAGGAGGAGGAGGATGATGATGAGGAGGAGGCCTCAACGGATTCGACGGCATTCATGACCGGAGGCGTTGATTCCTTCTGCATGCTGTTTTCTAATATTGTTTTTGCCGCTTTCCCTGGGGCAAGTTCTGTTGCATTTGTCGTTGTAGTTGTAGCTGCTAATGCGTTTTCACTTTTTACTTTAATGCTGCAGGCGGTAAAAAGTTGCTGCTTCAGTTGCTGCTGCTGCTGCTGTTGCTGCTGCTGCTGCTTTTGCATTTTATCAACATTAGTTGCTGCTGCCGTTTCTGTTTCTGTTTCTGTTTTCTGAGACAAAGCCAGCTTTTTGCTTGAATTGTTGCCATTGCTATTTGCATTGCTGACAACGCTTTTGGCCGCCTTATTTGTTGTTGTCGACGCCGTTGTTGTTGCTGTTGTCGGTGTTTTTGCCAACGTTGACAACTGCGACTTTTGTTGTGTATGAGCCATTGTTGTTGTTGTTGGTGTTCCTACCGCTGGCGCTTGTGTTGTATTTGTTGTTGTCGCTGCTGCTGGCGGTATTGCTTTCGACTCCGGCGTCATCATAGTAATAATACTCTTTCGCCGCTAAAATTCGCTTTTGTTTTTCGCACAAGCGTCAATCTGCAAGATAGATAACGTAGAGGAGTTGAAATTAAATGCGAATAAAGCGCATGGAAAATGGAAATTGAATAGCGACTTGACGAGAAGAGTGGGCCGGAGATTATAAATAAATCAGCGGCTCAGCTGGAAAGCAATAAGCTGAAGCCATGTACCTAGCTTCTTGGTGGGGAAAAGCTTAAAGCTTCGTTCGCCGCTATGTTTACAAAAGAATAATGAAAGCAAGGGAAATACATTTTCTGGGAAAACTTGAGGAGTTAATGAACTCGGTGGGATCGGTTGTTTCTTTAGAGCAATCTTTTCCTATGCCTGTTTTTGGTTTATCAAGATTTAATATTGTAAGCAGTTTGATAATGTTTTAATCGATCGCTGCAGGATCAGATCCTAATATCGAATGAGTTTTAAATAAATTCACCCTCGCAATCTTGAATTTAAAACTCACTAAAACGACTTTATTATAAACTTAAATTGTTATCTGAAAAACAACTATCACTAGAAGTTTATAATTAAAATATGTTTCGACAGACTTTTTAAGATTTTATGCAAAAAGATAAATAGTTGTATTGATTGTTGAAGACCAAAAAATAAAAAAATATTTATAGCAACTTGCTATGTAAAATTAAAGCTACTGGGACTTGAGTACTAGACAGAAAGGAGTCGACTGGGCATAAAGCAATCTGCCGGCTATTATTTGCAATCAGTCGATGGATGCGGGGCCTTCGATAATGGATGTTGTAGTTGCCATGGGAATGCCTACATGGAATATATTGAAATGCACAGCACTCGGGGGAACAACAAGGGGAACGAGTTGCAGGGCACCGGTGCAGAGGGGTGTTTTGTTTTATTACAGAGCCGAGTGGAGTTTTAACCAGATGCCAAGTAGATCCAAAGAGGGGGGCGGACGGGTTGGTAAATGTGTATTTCAAACAATTTCAAGTTGTTTTTGCATCAACGCGCCAGAAAAAAGTCAAGGTACGTACGGGAAAACTTTTCCGAAAAACTTTTCCAACTCCAGAGGCACACAGAAATATGGTAGACGAGAATATGGCAAATGGAATATGAATGAATTAATATGCGAGAGGGCGAAAAAGAGCCGCGGCATCCAGCAGGCTCTTTAAATCCTTTTTACATCACTTTTAAGTGTTGTGCGAACAAGAGGAAAGGAAGCCCTCCTTTTTGCCCTTTCTCATTCCCCTGTTTTTTTGAACCCATTCCCATGGTTTAAGTCTCGGGGATTCTCGCGCGCAAAAAAAATGTGAGTGAGTACCAAACATGAAAAGGATAATAAAAAAAAAAGCAGCGGAATTTCTCATTTGAGTGCGGTGTGCCTGTGAATGTATGGGTTTGTGTGTGTGGGTAGGGATGCGAAGCGGAGTTAAAGGAGGAGAACGCGAGACTGTGACAATGTACACCAACAACAATAAGCTAGTATGCGAAAATTCGGAGAATGCTGAACCGAGACTGCGGCTTTTCTCCTCTTTCAAAAAAACACGCACACACACTCTCCTATTACTTTCATTCAGGGAACGGAGTACATAAACATAAAACGAAAACGTTGCAAAATGAAATAGCAGTAAAACCAAGGCACACTCTGAAATTCTCATGCTCCCCTTATTCAATTGCCGTGTGTCCAATCGAAATTCTCACTTGTTGGGGGCTAACGAGGGGAGCCGCAACCGAGAAGAGAAATCAAGAGAGGGGATTGTGGCAAGGGAGGGAGAGAGCGCAACAGCTGCCGGCCGTCAAAAGTGTTGGTAAACGCTTGCTGTCATTTACCTCTGAGTCCAATCTTTAATCCACTAATAATCCAGCCAGTTAATTGGCATCGCGGTGGTCGCCTTGCATACATATATAATCCAATCGCAGGGGAATAATCCAAGTAAATAATCCACAGAGGGTATTCCGCGTTGAGTTTTGAGGCAGCGTTTCTGCTTCTCTTTCTTCACATCACTTCACTTTATTTTATTTTTACTTCTCCGCTTTACTGGCACTTTCGGCTGCTCTTCTTTCGTGGGCACCTTTATTGTGTATTATGCTTTGCTCTATGGTTTCTGCGCGCACACACACTAACACGCGGGTCGTACATAAGCCAGCAGACGTTGTTGTTGTCGTTGCTGCTTTGGCATTTGTCACACAAAGAAAACTGCTTCTCGCTTTGATAATTTTATAAACAATAATTTTGTAACTCAAGCTCGTAGCTCTAGCTGTAACATAAACACTTGTGTTTCATTTGGCTATTTCTTTCGGCCGATTCACTTTGTTAAGCTTGCGACAAAGTGTAGAATTTTCGAACAACCGACCGCACACGTCCGTTCGCTTTGAGTATTTTTTTCCGACTTCGGCTAACGACCACGCTGCCTCACGTTATTTACTCTGCCGCTATTTACTCACTCTCCCGTGCTCACAAACACATGTGTATACTCTTTGTTTCTTTTTCGTCGTTCGCATACAGTTTACCGTCTCGCTCTCGCCGGCCTCTAACTGGACGGCTAGGCAGTTGTCTCGCTCGCGCGTACTTGGCTGTTTTGTTGCTCTCGTTGTGGGGCGTCGCTCTCGCTCGCTCTCTTGCTCTTTTTCTCGCACAGCGTCGGGGAACCGCTTTCGTCGGCAGTTGTTTCTCGACTGAAGTACCGCTCTTTGGCTGACTGCTTTTCGGTCTCCACTTCGGCCTCAGCCGGCGAAAGCAGCGACGTCGACCGAGGCGTTGGCGTTTGGCTCTTTTTTCTGCTTTGCCAGCCGTTTCTTTGTTCGTGTCTTTATGTACAAATGAATTGGAAAGGGGATAGGGGCGGAGTAGAGAGCGGGAAAAGGGCTATACATAAGTAGCAGAGGTTTTATGACTCTTACGGGCTCTTATCTTATGTGCAAACACTTTACGATACATAAGGCCATGTGCAAACAAGACAGAGAGTGAGTATATAATCACAACTTGCAATTTCCGTCAGCAGAAGTCGCATATTTGCACGTAGGCGTACGGCTATATCTGCACCCCTCTCGCTCGCGCTCACTATCGCCTCCAAATTGGATCTGTGTTGTTTGTTTTCCCTTTGCCTTTCCTTTTTTGCCCCCACACACAGCTACAAAAACAACAACAATGAGAGCGCGAAAGAGCTCTCCAATCAGTGGCAGCCAACAACAATAAAAACAGCAACTTCGTTTCCGTCTTGGCGAATTAACCGTTAGCCTGGAGCTTACGTAACGAAACAATGCAGATCTAACGGATAAATTACGAGCAAGACAACGAACTGTGACGGCTTTCTATGCAAAATAACCCAGCAATGTAATGCCCGTGGGAGTGAAGTATTCATTTTGTTTATATTTTTTGAGAACTTCTTCTATTGTTAATTTAGTTGCACGTATATTCAATTAATATCTTCAATCGTTCTTATAAATATGTACATAAGTCATAAGCATGAAATGATTCCTTTTGCAGAGTTTAAGTAAATCCATTTTTAAAAATTAAAACTGTACCTTAATATCTTGTGTTTGGCGAATAGGGTTTTTCATTTTAAGGATTCAATCTATAATTCGTTCTATACAGTAGAATCCTGTTATAACGACTCCGTTTATAGTGTCCGTCCGGGTATTGCGACGAAAACTCGATGGCTTGATTGGTCCCCAGACAGACTTATACACTTAAATCCTTCTGCTTAGTGCGTCTTCCGGGTATAACGACGAAAAATCGTCGGTCCCTTGAAAGTCGCTATAAGCGGATTCTACTGTATTTAAATAGAATAACATTCAAAGGGATACATTTTTCACCTTTGTGTTATCCCAAAAAAAAAAAAAAACGAGGTAAAAAAAAGGAAAAAAAAAAGGAAAGCACTATGTTTTTAATACGCTTGCTGAAATATTCGTCAATTAATCGACGTAGAAGGATAATTTGTAGGAGGCTTTTGTGTATAACTGGAAGGCAAAAGACTAAACACTATAATTTTCTAATACAGAATCATATATAAAGATTTTTAAAGCTATTAAAGGTTACAAAATTCTTTTTTAAAAACCTTTTTTACGAATAAATAGTAGCCAAATTTCAGACGAAGCGATAAGAAAAACAAAGTGAAATAAGAAAGCTATACACTTTTGAGTTCGCTCTAAAAATTACTCGGTTCAGATTCTAAACTATATAACTACATATGTATAAGCTTACCATAAAATTACAACACAAATTAGACAAAGATCTCTGTCACTATTACTGCAACTAAACAAAATTTTAAATAACCAAAGAAAATCTGTACATTTTAAACTTAACTCGCCTAAAGAAACATCTAAAAATGTTACCAAAATCCAACGTTAATAAAACAATGTTATCATTTGATTGTCAACTCCATGAAATCGGAGATCTTTTGTTGTAATGCATTTAAGAGCCTGTATAAGATCCGCTTTAATTTTTAGATTACCATAAGCTTTACCATTTAAACGGCTAACATTTATTGTCAAATGTTTTATAGAAGTTTGTTGTATAATTTTTGTGTAATATAAATCTGTTAACTTCCAATGGTGTTGTGCATAAAAAAATTTTGGCCAAAAAATGGTCTCCTGGTTCTCCAGGAGTTTTTAATTACGTGACTCATGCAATGCGATAAGCTCGCAGTTCATGAATCAGAATCATGACTATTGAACTGGATGAGTAATGTCTATTTATTCAGGATGTATTTTAAGATTACGCATTACCTAATGATCCACTTCATTTTGGAATTTGTATTACATCCTAAAGTATTTGATTTTAATTTATTAAACTTTTTATGTAATACGTACACTTAGAAGCATTCTTGAATATTCATATTTCACTTTACATGTTTACATTTGTCTTATATTAAGCATTAAACTTATTAAACCATTAATTTGACATATTTGTGTGTGGAATACGGCTAATACCACAGTTTGTCAATCGAAGAAACATTAAATACTTAAATAAAATAAACCATACCTTTCCTTAACAGTTTGTTTTGATGCAAAAGATTAATTACAAGGCATAGGACAATTGAAGCAAGCTCAGCTTGTTGGAAACCGTTCTAGGATCGATAATACATCTTAAAAGGTATTTTTTTCTTCCATTGGTGGTCATTAAATCCAATTAGGCGACCCTTCTTACTTCGCTTCTACCAATCGCCCATGTAGGGTGGAGGACTGTGGTTCCCTGCTGATTAATATTACGTGTATTGAATATCCCGCGTTTTCGTCCCATTTTTCTGTTACATCTGGAGTATCAATTCCATTTGCCATCAAGTGTACGTCTCTCTGAGCAATTAGAACCACTCTAAATGACGCTAATCCCCGAGCGGAATCACCAAGCGTGTGCCCGACATCAGGCGAGTGTGGATGGTCGCGGATATATATCCGGATTCCGGATCCCTGTAGCAGATTGGCCTTTCGGGCGGACGCCATCTTAAGTCGGCAGTCATCAGCGGCTGATTGAGCTCATCCTGTCCACTGGACATTGGGCTTAGCCACTCCACCAGGCAGAGCCGTAAATTATTGATTGGCTTTAATGCCCGGCGATAGATTGCCCCAACTGGTTTTAACAGCTTAATTGAGACCCCATGAAGCAATAAATGCGATAAAGCGGCGGACTTGCACTCGGATTCCGACTTGGAGTCGGAGTCTTGGAAACCAGGGAAAGAGAAACTACAGTCCAACTTACGAATGAAAAAAAATGTTGAAACTTTTAGAATACACTACTTAGAATAGGCTTTCATATAAGCTCAAGAAACAGACTTTATTTTAAATTTGTGGGTCCTTCAAGGGTAGATTTATTTAGTTGAGAAGTTTGAAGAAAATTCTGAATTATCTCAAAAAACTGCAAATAAAAATGTTTCGGAAATGCAGTGCTCGGTAATCAAAAAAGTTAATCAAAATATTCACTTGCTCAGTATATTTGATGTTTGACTGTCGTTCTATTTCAATGTTTGTAAAAAATTCGTTTTTTTTTAAATATGTCGAAAATTGTTTTGTCTATTTTGATTAAAAATCAACCAAACTAAGGTGTTAATCCTTTTTGAAGGCAATAAAATATTTTTATTTGTGCTGCAAGTGCATTTTAAGTGCCTGTTTATCAAACAAGTTTCTTAAACTAAAGCTACTCGTCCAAGTTAAAGAAGTACAACTGTAGACGTGAGCCGCCGAGTGAAAAGGCGATGGAACCAAGCCAAAGTCGTGTCCACAGCGGCAACAACAACTAAAACGGGGCGACTGCAAGAGCAGCAACAACCACAGGAGGAGCAGAAGCAATAAGATTGGGGCAACAACAGCAACTCCGGTAGCAGCATCCCAGTGAATGGGGGGCATTTAAGTTTAATTTGTGTGCCGCCGTCGTCGCCACTCGTTCGTTTCCCGGTCTCTCTCACTTCTCCACTTCTCTCTCTCCATCACTCTCTTCTCCTTCCTTTCCTTTTGGTTTTCGTGGAACTAAGCGCACATAGCAGAAATCCCCACAAGCATTAAGATTCGTTGTTGTTGTCGTGCATTCAGGGCGCATGCCGAAAACCAAAAGCAACAACTGTGAGCCGTTTACATGTACGTACTTACATACCCATGTATGTAGGTATGTATGTATCTGTCAGTTGAGTTTTCCCAATACGCACGGCTGTGACGTCACGAGCATCAAAGGCAGCAGCATCGTAATAATCATCATGTTCATCATCGCATCGCAAATGCCACAAAAGCAAAAGCAACTCAACAGCAGATGTTTATGTGCCAGCGGTAGATTGTGTTTGTGTGCTGAATAGTATGTGTGTGAAAAGGTGCATCTGTATGTGCTAGCGAACAGCAAATAGTGCAAATAGGGTTGTCATTTAACTGACGGCTTACACAAATGCGGGTAAGGCAACAAATTGCTGATATGTCATTTTTATAAATTAAAAACAAAATATAAATTATTTTATATTGATCAACTTTTTAAAAACATTTTACTTTAACAACCTTAAAAAACCTTAAAAAAAAAACAAATTAAAATTTTATATTAAAAATTAAACCATAAATGTATTTATTTATATGTTTGTCCTTTTTAAAACAGTCCCTAAAGCCCACCTGTTAGAAAAAAGAATTCTTTTATTTATTGACAATTTTCTTTGCCTATGTTCAAAAAAATATAGAGAAGAAAATAAAAATCTAAACTCAAAGATTATAAAAAAACATTTCGATGTATTAAAATTTCATATAATAAGCCCAATAACCGCCAATTTTCTGTGCACCACTCGACAACCCTGCCATTTGTTATTGCCTTGCTTTGCTTTTATCTACGCGCGCCCAGGCCGACAGACGAGTTGGATGGAAAGGCAGAAGGGAAGAAGGAATAGGGACAGCATAATGCGAAATAATGTTGAAATAAAGCGAGGTTGCCAGAGATGCCAGATATACAAAATATACAAACGGCCAAACGGAACGGGCCACATGCAGTACAACACACACACAAATCATACATACGATAGCAAACTGGTTGCCAGCGAGGGCACGAAGATGTGTGGAATGGAGAAGGGCAAAATAACTGGCAGCAACGCCAGCAGAGCGAAGCCATATGCGAACGAGAGAGCAGAAGCATAAGGCATAAAGCGAAAAGCAAGCAAGGCAAAACTCCGAAATATGTGTTGTATGCTTGTGAGTGTATGT